CGCCATCTCTGTCGGTATGAGTCCTGGAATGACGCCGATCCACAAGATCCCGGGCTTTTCCGAGTCTTCTCCCTCATGGCCTCATGGTTGATGCAAATTTCAACGTTATGATAGTTCATGGGAATGAATGCGCATTCAAGATCTTCAAGACCTTATGTGCCATAGATAAATCCCACATGTCCTGTTTGTGTAGCTGCCGACATCTTTAAGTTCCTTTGCCATCGGGCATTCATACGGGCCAAATCAAGGGCCAAATTGACGTTCCCAAATGTCTGTGCTGACGCCAGACCATAAGTAGTATTGATGTTCTCTCCAAATTGTCAGGAATGAATTGTGGTTATATTTGTGAGGGTGAAGAGGAAAGAAAGTTGGAGTGTATTTGCGGTAGGGTTTTCCTAAGGTTCGACTACAGTAATAGACACTGTACGCGCGACCTAGCCCCACCCAAATAGTCCCAACGAGTTAAGGAAAAGCCTACTGTAAATACACTCTAGTTAGAGCATGTTTGCAGTAAGTGACGATGAATAATTGGGCACATACAATGTAATTATCATGAAACATTTATTGGACGGTTGTTGAAAACTTGGGTAGACTCGATCATATTAGCGTGCACTTGAAACATACGTAATTCCCCGGCAACGGCAACCTTTCGCCTTCGGCCAGCCTGCCGCCGCCACTGTAAACGCGCATTCGCAATCAAGCAGCCCTGGCAATACAATATTGATCCACTGTGAGCCCGCTCACTGCCCGCTCGCCTTCTTATGAAGGTCATCGAGATCTTACATTAATTCCTGGAGGTCATATTACTCATATTAAAAACAACCGCTTTTTCGGAAGCCGCGGAATTCTCCATGCTGTCTGGGGGACGGTCACGATCCGTGTTGGGCGGTTCATTTGAAGGTCGTGCTGTATCGACAGCTCGACAGCAGCTCGACAGGTAAAACGTACGGCGGTCGTGAGGACCTCGTCGCGCTTCTCTTCCCCAGGTGGCGTGACTAATTTTACGGAAAGCGCATGTACTTTCCAGTAATTAATTTCAGATTAGATTGTAATATGTGATTGATGTGTGGTACAGTATCAAAAAAGATGTTTGAGTCTACGCCTTTTCTGACCGATCGTCCGAGTCGTCCAGTTGCTGGATCGCCTCAGTTGCGTAACATGGGCTGCCTGACGTGGCATGGGGACACGGATGCAAAGTGCCGTTGTGACGTGAGTATCGGTCTGGAGATCATCAGACACGTTCGAAGGTCAACTGAGGCCTCCGCCGCGGTGGTAGAGTGGTAAGATATAAAGATAGAGGCGGGACGCGGACGCAAGGCGTGGGAATGTGGCACCAGGTTTGGGAATCTAGGCGCAGATCACGATCCGTATGAGGGATGGTTAAAAGTGAATCACCAAACGGCGTTACATGCTCACATCATTCCATCCCTTCTCTCAATGCCGGTTGAGCAACCAAAATCCGTCGTCCTTGTCACTGGTGGCACTGGCCTCGTCGGTTATGCGATACAACATGTCATCGACACTGAGCCCATAGGCTCTAGATTCGGAAGGCGCGAGGGTGAGGCCTGGTATTTCGTTTCGTCCAAGGACGCCGATCTGCGGTTTGTATCGGTTTGCAGCCTCTTCCTACATCCCTTTCTTACATTTCTAGCTTTGCTTCTGCAGGGATGCAGAGCAGACAAAGCGGATTTTCGATAAGTATAGACCCACATATGTCATTCATCTCGCCGCACTTGGTACGTCGTGCTTTCGCTTTACGGGTCATGGTGGCACTCTGTAACGTTGAGTAATAGTCGGTGGCTTATACAATAACATGCAATTCAAGGTAGGGCACGCCAATCTGCCTGCCACCTACCAAGCTCTGATCTATTGAATTTCGCAGCACTCGTTCCTGCGAGACAACATGCTCATCAATGACAATGTACTCCATTATGCACACGAGTTCGGAGTATCCAAAGTGATTTCGTGTCTGTCGACGTGTATTTTCCCAGATGGCGTCACGTATCCTCTTGACGAGTCCAAGATTCATCTCGGACCACCCCACGAGAGCAACTTCGGATACGCCTACGCTAAAAGGATGGTCGACATAGCCAATCGGTATGTGACATGATATGTTAATACCACTCGGCATCTCTGAAGAAGAATGGTAGTGCATACCACGAGGAACACGGATCCAACTTCACTTCTGCCATCCCGACAAACATATTCGGGCCCAATGACAACTTGTATGGTATCTGTTCCTTCGCCAGCATACTGACAGTAACGATCCATGCTCGTTAGTCACCTAGAAGAATCGCATGTCATCCCCGCTTTAATCCACAAATGCTTACTGGCTAAACGTGCGTTTCGATTCTTGCAGCTCAACCTTACTTGACACCCTTGGATAGGAAATAACACACCTTTCACTGTGCTTGGCTCTGGTCGACCGCTCCGTCAGTTTATCTACTCCTACGACATCGCCAAGTTATTTGTCTGGCAATTGCGCGAGTACAACGAAACTGAACCTATTATCCTTTCTGGTATGCTCCTAATTTGATCGGTGTTGCCGTGATTCTGAGTATAAAATCTTCCCTGCAGTCGGGGAGGATGAAGAAGTTAGTATCAAGCAGATTGCAGATGCTGTAGTTGCTGCAGTTGGTTTCGAAGGGGAGTACAGCGTAAGTTTTGGCGGTTTCTCGATGGATCCTGGTCCTCTGAGCAAGCATTCCTTAGTTTGACCCTTCCCTCGCGGACGGGCAGTTCCGTAAACCTGCCTCGAACAAGAAGCTAATGTCGCTTCTTGGGAACAAGTTCGAATTCACGCCATTTGAGGTTGCGTTGCGCGAAACGGTCCAGTGGTTACTCGACCATTATGACACGGACGCGAGAATCGAACGGAGGGCCCAGGGCAACAGTAGTATTTACAATCATGGTGCAGCGAATGGACAGAAGACGAACGGGACGGCAGCTCATGTTGAGAGGGTGGAAACTAGGGTGGAAACTATAGAGGTTGAATGAGAAGAGGCGGGATCTTTTTTACCGAGCGAGGCGCCCCTCGACTGGTACCGAGACGATTGCCGAGATGGCGAACAAATAATACGTAGCCATGTGCTGCATGTATCTATCGTATCGATTCGGTAATGGGACGTTGATCCAGGGGTCAAAATCCCTAGGCCTGTCAAACTATGATAGTTCAACATCATTCAACAGCGCCCACGCCAAGCCTAGCCTTGTACTAGCTTGACCTGTTATAATTCACGCCCCCTTTTCACCGCTGTCTTTTATTACCTCCCACCGCGCACCAACCTCATCCATCTTTTTTTCTTTCCCCTACTATTACTCCACGTGCAAGTGTATCCATGTCTGACCTTGCAACAACCACACCTTTCGCCCTGCGTTCCCTACCGTCACCGGAAGAATGGCACAAACGCAAGGTCGCCCTGATTTCAGGCAAGTCCCTCCTTCCTCTTTTCTGGGCTTGCTGGTAGACTGACCCTTCATGTACACGTAGGTATCACGGCCAGGATGGATCTTACTTGTTTGTGTCTGAGTTTTGCTCGTGTGACCTGCGTCATTGAAACACATGTTGTTTACTAGGACAGAGCTACTACTCGAAAAAGGGTACGAAGTTCACGGCATCATTCGTCGCTCCTCTAGTTTCAATACCTCGCGTATCAATCATCTCTTCTACGATCACCATGAGCAGCGTACGCTTTTAAAAACCTCTCTAGTCTTCTTTTTTCGCGTGCTGATTCGCGTAGGTCCCCAGAAGAACAAGTTCGACCTCCATCACGGAGACCTATCTGACAGTACGAATCTCGTATACATCATCGCGAAGGTCCAACCATCCGAAATCTACAATCTCGGTGCGCAGTCGCACGTGAAAGTCTCCTTCGACATGGCGGAATACACAGGCGACGTCGATGCGCTCGGTACCTTGCGCCTTCTCGATGCCGTACGCACGTGTGGCCTCCAGAGCCACGTACGATTCTACCAGGCCTCGACCTCTGAGCTTTACGGACTGGTTCAAACCGTCCCGCAAGACGAAAACACTCCGTTTTACCCACGCAGCCCCTACGGTGTCGCGAAGCTTTATGCATTCTGGATCACGAAAAACTACCGTGAGGCCTACAACATGTACGCTTGCAATGGCATTCTCTTCAACCACGAGAGCCCTCGTCGTGGACGCACCTTCGTGACACGCAAGATTACCCGTGCCGTCGCTGACATCAGCCTTGGGAAGCAGGCCTGTCTGTACCTTGGCAACCTCGATGCGCAACGTGACTGGGGCCACGGTAATTCTTCCGCGCTATGTCCATATATGTGAGCGGCATCAATATTGACCCAATTTCGCAGCTCGTGACTACGTAGAGGGCATGTGGCGCATGCTCCAGCAAGACAAACCTGATGACTTTGTTCTCGCAACTGGTGAAATGCACTACGTGCGAGAGTTTGTCGAGAAGTCCTTCCAGGTCCTTGGTGTGAAAATAGAGTAAGTCAGTTTGCCCAAATGTTCAGCTACACGATTTGTCTAAATGGTGTTGTCTTATAGATGGTCGGGAGAAGGCGTCGAAGAGGTCGGGAAAGATGCTCAATCCGGAAAAATTCTGGTTCGAGTTGATCCCAGGTACTTCCGTCCATCCGAAGTCGAGTGAGTGTGGATCCAGTTCTTTACCTCTCCGCATTGCGCTCAACGTGACATACGTAGACAACTTCTGGGAAGGCCCACCAAAGCCGAGAAGACACTCGGCTGGAAGCGTCAAGTCGATTTTGACTCGCTCATCAAGGAAATGGTGGAGTCTGATCTTAAGGCGAGCAAAAGCCTGATCGAGGATCAAAACTGAACGGACGCTTACCGTCGCATATGTTTGATTGGTACTGTGTGAGAACAGGACGCTTGTTTTTAAGTTACTCGGAACATTTCTCTGAACATTTGTCTCGTTGTGATAGACGTTGTGATAGATTTGTACGCGTGGGCTACATTACGCGGTTAGATAGTGTTATAAGGGATTGTCTTTTACGCCGTCGTGGCGCAATGGCAGCGCATCACCTTCCTACAATTATATTGGTGGCAGGTGGGGGTTGCGGGTTCGACCCCCGTCGACGGTAGTGGTAAACCTTTGCCCCTCATTGAGTGGGAACTTTTTCTTGTGATTCTTGCTTGATTCCTAGCGTTGTTGTGTGTAATGAATGTCTTGTGTGGGCTCCTCTGCATCCCACCGCCTGTCAAATACCTTACGTTCCGTCCTGTCACCTTTCTATACAGTTCAATCTATCCTTCCTCTCTCCCTAGCCACCCAGCCTTGGACTGCCTCTTGTGCTCTTCTTGTCCTTCTACCGCCTGATGATACTCCTACCCCGGCTCATGAAGCCATTCAAGACTATATTTCCGCTGGAGGGCGTATCTTGGGCATCGGCCTCGGTGCCACCCTTTTACCGCGTCGCCAGATACAGGGGCGCTTGGAGCTGTGGGATGCTCGGTCGGGCACCGCTATAGTTCCTCAGTACCCCAAGCGGTCCCAAGTCTTTCACAGCCCTCATCTATACTCCTACAGACGGGTGCACTTCTTTCCGGTCTTCGGCGACCCAGTGTTCCATTCGTGTTGACACCCGACGCATCCGATATTCAAGTCATCCGCGGGCGATGGGAGGAACCCGTCGGTGCTATAGCAGGTATCGAGGTGCCCGTTGGATCCGGACGCGCAGCCTTTTGGGGTATCTCGCCTTGTTTCGATGAGATCGAGGACACCGAAAATGTGACCGCGCTCCTCCGATACGCATTGACGTCCCTCGGACTGTCAGTACCGTCCGAGACGCCGGAAACGGGGACGACCGCTGCCAACGCCAACGCCAACGCCAACGAGTCGTCATCTACTTCCACCGGCAATCCCCCGCCGCCGCTATTCTCCATTCCTCCAAGATACGCACTCCCCCAATTCCTGTTGCATCCACGCGGGAAGAGATATATTTCCGAGACAATTATACGAGGGCTTGGCATCGTCGTTGCCGAGTCGTCCGGCGCCACGGCGAATCAGAGCCGGAGCCGGAGCCAGTGGTGATCAAGGATAAGGTGGACACGTTCCATTTTCACAAGGTTGCGACTCTCGAGCATGCCGGACGTCTAGTCGCGGAAGCAAAGGCATCATCGGCATCGGCATTTGCTGACGCGTCGGAGGACGCGGCGCAACGGCCACGACCACGGCTCATCATTGTCCTTCCTCCGGACGTCATACCCACCGGAGGAGGAGAGCTCACGCCAAGATTTGATGCCGATAAATATTTCGCTGTGCTCGCCGAGGCCCGAGGGGACCAATGGTGCCGCGGGCGCGGAAAGCTGGGGAGTAGGCGAAGCTCTGTTTTATGGTGAAGTGGTAGCGAGCACACAGACGATGCTAGAAAGGTACGCGTTTTGTTTTTTACAGCCCTGCTACCGCTACCGTCCCGTCCCACCCCTCTTTCCTTTCTTCCTTTCCCCATTCCCGTCATCGCCGTCTCATTGCCCGGAATATATACACAGAAACCCCCGATTCTTGGCGTCCCTCCAAGCCCCGATTGTCTCACTCGCGACATTTCAGCTCTCCGGGCGCGGCCGTGGCTCCAACACGTGGCTCTCGCCAACGGGATGCCTGCAATTCTCCATCCTCGTACGCGCGTCATTGCGCGCTTCGGGGCTCTCTGGGCCGCGCCTCGTCTTTGTGCAGTACCTCGCTGGGCTGGCCATCGTCCGCGCGTGTCGCGACGAGCGCGCGCTGGGTGCCGAGCGGGGTGCACGCGTTCGGCTGAAGTGGCCCAATGACGTGTATATCGATTTGCCCTCTTCGTCCTCGTCCTCGCCTTTAGTTGCGGCCGGCGGCGAGAAGAAAAAAGTCGGTGGTATCCTGGTCAATATGAGCATCGCGGACGGTAACGCCGATGTCATCATCGGTGCGTTGCACATGGCTTGCTTGCTCGGGCATTTCATTTTCATTCGAAATCTAACTTCCGCTCCCTTTTTGCGTCTGGGAAAAAGGGTGCGGCATCAACGTGAGCACGCCCGCACCTGTGACAGCGCTCGATCTGCTCTGCAGACCGGGAGAACATCTCGATGCGGAGACGGTGCTAGCGCTCGTCCTGACTGAATTCGAACGCTTGTGGACTGCGTTTGTCGCTGGACGAGGTAGTTGGGCGCCTTTCGAGGAGGCTTATCTTGACATGTGGATGCATTCGTACGTGTTCCCACCTTGTTGTGTCTACGATTTCATGCGTCTGATGGACGGATGTGTACAAACGTAGCGACCAACTCGTGACGCTGACGACGGTCGATCCGCCCGTCCCCGTTCGTATCGTTGGGATAACTCATGAACACGGTTTATTGCGCACGATACCTGAACGAACTGGATGGGGGCGTAGTGCACGACACGGTGTAGACAACGAGTACATCGACTTGCAGCCTGACGGGAATAGCTTTGATATTATGAAGGGACTCATAAAGGCGAAGAAATGACACGTAGTAGGAATAGTAGGAACGCGTACGATACATGCCCACACGGAGAAATACAACAAATCGCTGTTTCATTCGATGTGCCACCGTTGAGCAGATTGAAGGAGTGACACGAGGAGATGCCAGAGGAGATCCTCGAGCCGTAAGCTGCACGCAGAACGGGGAGGAAACGGCGTACGTTCTATATGAGGGTTTGCAATCGGCAGACGCAGTGAGGTCGAGCAGGCGAGGACGGGTTCAGGAACGACGCTGCGCGAGGCGAGACGCAACACGAGAAGTGCTTGCTGAGGGAGGAAGGCCTGGCGACTCGGTTCTGCAGAAAAGGTCTTGTTCATATATCAATGGCTTGAGAGAACAGCGTGGGCCCTTCCTTGTGTGGATGCGAGGGAGAGAATGACTAGGTAGACAAGGGGAGAATCGCCACTATTTCGTGTTCTGCGATTGTACGAAGGGAAAGGTGTGCCATCAGCACCTCGGGAATTGTTGATGTAGTCAGGGAAAGAAGAAACGGCAATTACGGATCGGCTTTTCTCCTCTTGTCGCCGGTTTCATCATGGCTGCACCTGCAGACTTTCTCAACTTCATTGATGTTCACAAAGACAGGTTTATCCAGCGTCTTGCTAGCGCAGTAGAAATCCCCAGGTACTATCCACCAGATCACCTAGCATAGGTAGGATCCGACACTGATTAAGACAAGTGTATCTGGCGATCCTGTCCATCGTGACGATGTCTTTCGCATGGGGTTTTTCTGGAAGCGCAGTTGAGGCAATACGGTGTTGAGACCAAAGCTGTTGAGCTCGGTACCCACGTAATGGATGGCCAAAACTTGAAGCTTCCCCCAGCCATCTTGGGGAGGATCGGAGACGACAAATCAAAGAGAACGATTCTTATTTACGGCCACTATGACGTGCAACCAGTCTGTTATCCCCTTCCTCGTCCTCATATATCGTCCCTACCGTTTTCTGTAGGCACAATTATCAGATGGATGGGACTTCCCGCCATTCCAACTGACCACCGATGCCAAGACTGGCCGTCTCTACGGTCGCGGTTCATCCGATGACAAAGGTCCCATCTTTGGCTGGATCAACGTACTCGACGCACATCATACCCTCAACAAGCCCCTTCCCGTAAACATACGCTTCTGTTTCGAAGGCATGGAAGAGTCTGGCTCTGAGGGCCTAGATGAATTCATCCTCGCCGAGGTCAAGAAAGGCAATGACTCTTGGTTTGATGGCGTTGACGCAGTGTGTATTGTGCGTAATCCCCACCCTTCTGTCTGCCATGCTGCTTCTCACTGCACACCTTCAGTCCGACAACTACTGGCTAAACACGCGTACCCCTGCGTTGACATATGGCCTCCGAGGCATCTCTTACTACAAGGTTACCATTTCTGGCCCAGCCAAGGATCTCCACTCAGGTGTATACGGCCGCATGGTGCACGAGCCCATGACAGATCTCATCATCCTCATGAGCAAGCTCGTTGATCCGCAAGGTAACATCCTCATTCCCGGTGTCGAAGAGTTGGTGCCGCCTCCAGATGAGGAAGAAAGGCACGTTTTTCTCCGCGCATTCTCTTACACCACCGCCGATCATGACCTTTCTTCTTCTGCTTGCAGGCAGCTCTACAGGAAAATTGACTACAGCATCGAGGATGTGGAGCATTCCGCCGGTGCCAAGATTACGATTTCGGAAGACAAGGCGATCGCGCTGATGGGACGTATGCGATCTCCTTCGCTCTCTATCCACGGTATCGAGGGCGCGTTTTACGGCGCGGGAGCCAAGACGGTCATCCCGGCCAAGGTGACGGGCAAGTTCAGCATTCGCCTCGTTCCTCCGCAGACGCCGGACAACGTTGACCCGCTCGTGATCAAGTACGTGTCCGCCGAGTTTGCAAAACTGGGCAGTAAGAACACCGTAAATGTGGAGAATCTGCACGGAGGAAAGCCTTGGGTCGAGAACTACAAACACTGGAACTACGAAGCTGCCCATCGTGCGACAGAGGTAACATGACTACTTGGGACCAATACCTAATTTGTACTCATTTTTACTCAACTAGGCTGTATACAAACGAGCACCGGACTATATGCGCGAAGGTGGCTCGATTCCCGTGACGCTTACCTTTGCAGAGGCTCTTCGTGTGAATGTGCTCTTGCTTCCCATGGGTCGCGGTGACGATGGCCCGCAGTACGTGTCTTCTCTTCCTCAACAAGGTTTACTCAGTAGACTTGCTGTACTTGATACAGTTCGACGAATGAAAAGCTAGACACATCGAACTTTATTGAAGGGGTACGCAATACTTCCTCTTATATCATATTGTTTCGGAGCGCGTGAGCTAACATTGCTTTGGTACTCAGACCAAGCTTCTTGGAAGCTATCTCCATGAGGTGGGCGCGAGCACCGAGGCCCGATGATCGTGCGTTGGTAGTAGCCCAGTCGGGCTAGCTGCGTCGGGCGCGCCGGGCGATGTGATGAAGAACAGCAGATGTAACCAACGGTGTACTTGTAACACATCTCGTGCAACTTTTCGCAACTTCGAATCGAATTTTCGTTACTATGGCTGTCACTCGGCTCGGTGCAGTAACAGCTAAGTGACTGATTATATGTATAACGTACTGGCCAGGCATAATCG